GTATATATGGTTTAAAAGTGTTGGAATTTGACCATGCTTGTATCTTACATCATAGTTTGACAAGTAAAAAAAATCCAGTGACATAAAGGTTGAAATTGACTATACACACAGCAGGAGAATGTGGGACTTGTGTTTAATAATAAACAAAACCTTAGCTTTATTAACATCTGACAGGGGTTTCCACCTATCTCCATCTGCCACACAGGCACACACACACACACACACACACACAACACAAAGGTGCGAAATGACTAAATGGCTTCACTTCCACAGAATCACCTGTTGTTGTCATTGCTTTGTGTGGCGCAACCTGATATTTCCCTGAAACACTCCCAGGAACCTTCTGTAATGGTATCTTGCAGCTGTGTAATTTTGCCTCTGAATGCTTAGTAAGATGTTGTAAATGTCTTTGCAGAAAGTTTGTTCCCCAGTGGCTTTTGAGAAGCAGGGAAATCTGGAAATCTGGATTAATCTGTATAAAGTTTGACTTGTAGATGGTTAAAACTACTCATCATGTACTCATACTCATCAGAACTTGTAATACAGGTGTTTATAGACATTATACAATATAGTCTAACCTTTTACAGCCTCAAGGTTTGTGGATAAGTTACAGTGACGTAATCAGATACCAAGAGCTGAGACAACACATTTCATAATGCCTTTAGTCCATTATGTCACCATGTAAACAAAGCCTGTAAAGGTGTGGTGGTATTTCAACAGAGGGCGCCATAAAGTAATTTGATTTGACCTGTGAGTGTGCGAATGTGAGGGTTGTTCTTCTACCCTGGCTTATTAAAGATCATGTTTATAATCATGTTCAAAGGAAGTTTCTCTTCCTTTATACATTTTCAAGAGGGCATAAAGATCATTTCATAAGTAAATAATTGTGAAGAGGTGGATGCAAGGATGGAAGTGAGAAAGGCAGACACTCTGCCATCATCCTACGGTCTTTTATCCTGTCAGTGTTTGTGTCACAACACTGGAGAGAATTAATACAGCACTGGGATGAATCACCACCTGGCCTGTGAGGTGTGTTGTTATCCAGACACACCCACTCCCAGGAGAAGCCCTAACCTGTTCAGAGAGACACACAACACCACAGGAGATTAAGTAGGTGCGGTAGCGCTTTGTCCTGAAAGATTAGAAAAATAAATAAACAGGCAGGAAGTAAGGGGTATAATGACAGGAATTCTCCACTGGAGATGAAGGGCAGTTGTGTACCCACAGGGCTAAATGAAAGATGGGTGAATGGGTGGGTGCACTGATAGATCCTATACTCATTTCATTTTAAACAAAGGTACATTGCTCTGAGAGTAGAAATCGTATTATTGAGGTCCAACTCTGAGTAGGAATCATTTTGTAAGGATGGAGAATATTATAAAGCAGCTTATGTCTGTAGGTGTTGAATTATTCATTGGTAAAATGAGGTTTAGTGTTCAGGCAGTGATGCATGGGTACTACAATGCCACAACCTGCCTTTTCCTATATCTTACATCACTCAAGGTCATATCAGCCTCACAACAAGCTCTTTACTTCTGAGTCATGCTGGGGAAACAGTGAGGAGAAAAGGTTATTACCACAGTAGGCTAAGTTATGTGTAACGACTTGTCCCTATGGAAGAAAGAGGTGGAATTTCACCAACTTGTTGTGTAACCATTAATCTCCTTAGTAAACTTATTCAGTTGTACGGCATGCCAAGCGAGAACAAAGACACTGTGTTAGAGACCATGTTTCCCTTTTTAAGTCAGTTTTAAGTCAAGTGTTTGTGGTAATTAAAAGACAAATGAATAGCAAATGCAGCAGCCACAGGGAAACACATTATGCACCTAATAACCAGCACTAAGCTAGACTGATGTTTTTAAATGAGACATGAAGCACTTTGTAGTACAAATATTTTTTGTGTGATTTGTTTTATTTTGATTGGGAAAGGTTTATTTTAAGTGAAAATGTGAAAATTGCATGCTCTCTCTTTTTATTTATGATGGCATTATTAGTATTTTTATAAGCATGCTCTTTGTTGGAAATGTAGAGGTAAGGGTTGTAGTTATCTCCTGTATCATCTAATGTACTGCATGAGAGACCCAAACTCTAGGCAAAAGCGAAAAAGACAGTCTGACCCTGAGTCCATTTCAGGCAATTGAGGAGCCAAATCACCGGTGGTCAACAATTCAGATGGTGGATGGTACACTTTAGCTATCTTTGACAGACGATTTTGGAGAGCCATTAAGTCTTTATCTGTCTGCGGAAGATGAGCTGCCTCCCTGTGCTGTCAAGGACTCTCTGTTTTAGTCTGCCAAACCATTTTCTATTACCGAGGTACACAGGTAGCCTAGATACAAGACAACCTGCTGATCCTGTTTTCTTAAAGTTGCTTCATATTTAATTGTTTTACCTCTTTAAAGGTCCTTTATGTAACATTTAGGAGGTTGTATTGGCAGAAATGGAATATCATATTTATAGGTATGTTTTCATGAGTGTATGAGTTTTACCTTAAAATTAGCCATTTTTATCTACTTTTGTTTTGGTATACTTGATAGTTCTGTGTATAACTTTTATACTGTTGCATTTGCCATTTATGTCTTAAAAGAAGAATAATAGAAGCCTTTAAACTCATTTGTAAAACTCATAGGGTTAAAATTGTAACACACTATCATTATACTGCAGGTTGAAAATCAGACAGTGACAGACAATGTCACTGTCTGTCTTTCAACCTTCACTGCAGTGAAATAATTGAAATAATGACTTCTTGTTTCCAACAGATAATGAGGATGTTGACGTGAGTTTTTCTGTGCATGGATACAGTATGGTTGCCACCTGAACCAGTTAAGTTACTGTGACACTGACCAAACGGGAACTTTGAAAAGCTTCAACAATTTCATTCTTACATCCACTTGTTGCAACACACACAATTTTAGGCCTCTCACTTTTTTAGATCCAGTATTAAGCCTTGAGTTAGTTGTAACCTGCAGCACCAGCTCCAGGAGCAGCAGTAGCACTGAATGAAACCTCTGTCTGAACTCAGCCGTGTGTGTGTGTGTGTGTGTGTGTGTGTGTGTGTGTGTGTGAAACTGGAAACAATGGGTAGCCAATGAGACAAGAACCATAGTTCTGAGCCACCGTTAGTAGGGGGAGGCCAAGAGGGAGGAGGGGAGAGACCCTTTGTGTGTATGTGTGTACTTGTGTGTGTGTATAGGAGAAAGAAAGGGGGGAGGTGTTTGGAAAGACGTGGAATGATGGGTGTTAGTGAAGTGTAGGGCAAGTAGGGTCGACGTATGCGTGCGTCTGTGTAGATGCATACATACTCTGTTTATTTTGTAGTTGTGGCTTGTGTGTGTGCATGAGAGAACGGGTGAGGGACAGGGGGTAAAGGCCGCTGTATAATTAGTCTGTTAATCCAGATTTGAGCTGTGTTGGAAGATAGGAGAGGCCTGTTTCTAGCGAGACAGAGGTCAGCGAAGCTGTGTCAAATGCTGTGTGATGAATGTAGTTTGCAGTGATTTAAACCTGCATTAAGCCCGGGATAGAAAAGTAAATCCACCTGCTTGAAAGCTTTATCTCTTCCTGTAGGTTTCTCATGATTCAATATGTCTCTGGCTGTTTTTCCTTGTCCCTTGGTCTGCCTGTTTGTGTTTGATTAGCAGTCTTACCAGTGCAAAAAGCCGAAGTGCAACTGACTAATTCCTCTTATTTTAGAATTGTTCAGTGATTTTTCCTCACTTTCTTTTACCATTTTTTGTTCCTTTCTTTCTGTGTTGTTTATATTACTCTGATTATACTTGATTTGTCATATCTATTGCGTTTGCAGCGACTTCGCAGGTATTTAGCAGTTTCTCTGAGCTTTTCATGACGCCTCTCATTTGCCGCTGTGAGTGTTTTTGCGGGTATGTGTCACACGGAAACGCGCACATGGCAGATGCGTGTTTCTGTGTAAACTCACACTCTCAAGTTCAGCCACACCCTGCTCATTATGTTCTCAGTCAGATACCCAGAGGAAACTGTTCTCTACTCTTTTCCACACAAACCCTGTAATCTGATGACAATCATATTCACATTCTATTCATCTATTTCCTCTTTTCATCCCATTTGCCTCCTGCTTTTTTCCACCAGTCCTTTTTTTTTAATTGAAGGCAAAATGTGTGTATAGCCCACTTTAAGCACCAGGGGGCAGGAGAGAACCACTCTGAGACCTCACTAGGCCTTTGTAACTCGTATATCCATTAAAATCAACACAGTGAAGTTTGTTTTCCCTCCATGTACAAGACAGCTATCGACAATTTCCTATTCTATTCTGTTTTTCTGTTTATATAGTATATGTATGTCCATATACCTACTTGAGGGGTCATTGTGGTATAAAGAAAAGTCCTTAGTTTATTATAGTATATTCTGTAATATAGTTGTAAGGGTTAGTGTGGTGTAGGCTGAGGGGAAACTGCCATCTTTGCCAGAAAGAAAAGGCTTATAAGCTGAAACCAAATAAGGAGAAACACAGTTTCCTTGCTGTTTACCCTCCTTTCTTATTACTTGTAAGTTCTTCCCTCTCCTTTCACCCTGCTTCCATATCTGTAAACAGTCACTTTATAGTGACTTATCAAACTTTATAATTTATATGCTCTCACAACATTCCCATACTATCACTGCAGGGACTCACAAACTCTGATAAGGTTATATATATATATATATATATATATATATATACTTTTTTTATGGCACCTTTAATCTCCTCAGTTATCACTTCTGTATTCCTAGAGGGACTTCATTTCATGTGCGTCTGTTGTTACCTCAACAATCTTAGTGTTGTTTAATATCTTGTGGCAAAACTATACCACTGGGACTTGATTGCTACTTTAAAAAATGGATTCAGAATTACTGCAGCTCTCTGGGTCTCTCTCTTCCTTCTCTTTCTCTCTGGGTGCGTTTGGAGAGGCTGATCTTGTGCGTAAAACATCCCTGATATTTGTGGCGCTCCTGGGATTTAGCGAGCATGCCCAGTGCGCCTCTTTCAGCAACAGAGGAAACCACTGGCGCAGCATAGGAGTCATACCAAGCATAGCCTGCGTGTCAGTGCAGTCGACTTACAGCTGGCTGTGAGGAGAACTGACGCTACTCTGTTTTTGCTCTGTATCACCGCGATATATTTATCCGAATTTCATTTTAAAAAAGTATCGTAAAGTCATTAGAATAACTGGGGGAATCTGGTTTTCGAGCCTCACCGCGGGGTTTTTATTTTATTAAAGGGGTTCCTAGACAAACTAAAGTTGGAGGCTGGGCCTTTAGCTTTTTGACCGTCGCTTGAGAGGGAAAAAAAAAAAGCTGGTCTTTTTTTTTTTTTTTTTGTAAAAAAACCTCGATAAATGCTACTAACGAAAATGGACCTGTTGAACTACCAGTACCTGGACAAAATGAACAACAACATTGGCATTCTCTGCTACGAAGGTAAAGTGAAGGGTTTTGTGCTGGTTTGTGGGTGTTCCTACGGTTGTCTTTTTAAAAAAATCTCCGAGTGGCCGCTGCCGTTACGCTGTGAGTTAACGTTAGCGACGTCGTTGGTCGAAGTTTTCAACTCAAGTTACTTTATACAAACGCTAGCTACAGAGAAGAAAAGTCGAAGGTTTTTTTTTTTTTTTTTGATACGCGTTGAGTAATTTAATTCCTACACGACTCACAAGTATCGACTGAAAAGTGGTTATGATTTTTCAACGGTTGGAACCTTTGACAGTATATGGTTGGAACGTATTGCCAACGTTCGTTCGTTCCATGGAACGTAGTTACAACCGCTAGCAACGTACTCCGCTCCAGTTTCCACTTTAAGTCATGCTAAAACTTTTGTATTTGTTCGTTATCTAACAACTGGATGTGTGTTTTATAAGCCAGCCTTATCATTTCTGTGCTATTGAGTGCTCCTCAATGGGAAGACCTGGCTAATGATTGAGATCAAAGGCTGAATAATGGACTGTAAGTCAGTCCTTAAGGGACCCCTTTTCTGTCATTTAATAAACTGACGACCCCTGACTAAGGGACATATTCTGTGGATATTTCATATTGTATTAAAAACAGTGCAACAGTAACAGAAGGAGGTTTGTTTATAATGACTGATTTGGATAGATTCTGAGCAGATTATTTCCTGTTTAGGGAACTTTATACAATTCTCTGTCTTTATGGTGTTTGTTGATCATTTTTAGCAATCATACATGGTTAATAAGCTACTTTTCTGACATTCTCTGTTTTATTCTCGTTGTTTCATTAGCTCTTTTGGTTGTTTTAACTTTTCTGCTTTACCCCCCCCGTGAAGCTTTGGCGACCCCTAGTGCGTTCAGACCCCCATTGGGAACCATTGCTGTAAACCATGTGTGGGATTCATTGATCTCCTCCTATGTTTGACTCACTCCATTACTAGCTGCTCAGTTATTCTGACTTTCTGCTCTCTATTATTCATATCAACCTCGTGCATTCCTATCATTGTGAAATGTGTGGTTAAATGTCTGGCTTTAGTTGAATCAGAGTCTGATGAAGTCTCAAGGGTTGACACGGTGTGTTTAAATTATTTGAACCTAGTAGAGTAAATTTGCATTCGACAATAATAATAAAAACGTTATTTATATACCACCTTTTTCAAAAACAGACTTTACCAAGTGCCTTGACAGACAAAGGAAAATTATAGCCCTAATACACAAAATATAATTAAATATAAAAAATAATGAATACCAAAATACAACGAGAGCAGAGTATAAGCAGTAAACAAAAGTCTATAAAAATGGGTTATAAGAAGTGATTTAAAAGAAGTCACTGATTTATCTCCTTAGGCAGGTCGTTCCAAAGCCGAGGGGCCCTGATGGCAAAAGCAAGGTCACCTTTAGATTTAAGCCTCGGCTTTGGAACAGCCAGAAGGGCCCCCACCTGAGGATCTAAGGCTGCGAACTGGCTCACAAGGGGTCAACATTTCTGTTATGTAGCTTGGGGCCGGAGCCAGACGTGCTTTAAAAGTCATCAGTAAAATCTTAAAATCAATTCTAAAAGGAACAGGGAGCCAATGGAGAGAAGCCAGGATTGGGCTGATGTGATGTCATCTGTTAAAACCAGTAAGAAGCCTCACTGAAGCATTTGAACATTTCTCTTCTCTTCGCAGTTATTTTCTAGCATGAGCAGCATAGGATTTCATGTTATGTCATGAACGCACAGAGCAGGATCTTCCATGTCTTAGCAAAGAGACTGACTTTGGGCTAGTGAAACTCCTGCCCTCTGCTCTGCAGTAAATGCTCATATGTCAGGGGTTGTAATATCATCCAGTCTTTCTCGGGGGCTAAATACAGGTTCCTTCCTGTCCCTCTGCCCCTTGATTTCTACTGCAACACGCACCAGCTCCAGCACTAAAACAAAACAAACCTTCACAAGTAAATCAGGATTGTGAATAGTAAAGAGTTGTTGAAGGTGGTGACTAGTGCTTTATTTCCATTCAAGGTTGACTTAAGCAAAAATACAAAAACTGCAGCAACATAAAGGAAAACATTTTTATGAGAAACTGATCAGCAGTCTTTCTTTTCATCTCTTCTCTCCCTCTGCTGTTTATTAGCCTGCCTTTCCCCTACTGCTGTGCCACAGTTAGCAGCCCCTCTCTACATGTAACACAATGAACTTGTAATAGCACTCCAATTAAGACTGAGATCAATTTTTCAGATTTGCAGGGAGGGTCAGAGGGGTTGTTTGGCAGGTGGTCAAGTACCATTTTATAGGAGCAGGTAGAGGGAAGACAGGTTTTTTTTTGAGGTTAAGCAAGTTATTATGGTCTCTGTCAACAGACTTGCACTTTTGTAGTTGATGCTTTTTCAGGAAAAAAGTCTTGTGCTGCTGTAATTCCTGTTTGACAAATGCGACATGTGACTTTTTAAGTTTTGCTGAGGAGATTACACACCAGTGCCATTTTGGTGAAATTTCATTGTAAAGATCACTTTTCATTGGAGTGAGGGTGTCGCAGATAAAACTGCAACTGGTCTGGCACTGAATCCATTGAGAAGTTGTGGTAGACCAATTAATCGTCACCGGCCGATTTTCTTCAGAGAATCTAGAGGCTCTAGTAGAATAGAATTACATTATACATGACTTTTCTTTGTTTTGATGTCGGCATTCTGTATTGACCATCGGCAGCCCTGCACTCTAAATATTGGCATCGTCCATTAAAAAACCCATATCGGTTGACCACTAATCAGAAGGGTTTTCTGTGTCACTGCAAAGCTTCATCTTTCTCAGGTTTCATCCTGTCTATCTCAGTAAAGAAAACTACAGGGTTGAAGAGGGGAGTACTTTCTTGTATATCCTTTGGGTGTCTCTTTTTAGGTGATGGGTTTACACACAATGCTTTATTTCTATCTCTGGAAGCACATCTCTGCAGGACTAGCACATCTATTTTTTTCTGGGTTTGTTGTGTGTGTGTGTGTGTGTGTGTGTGTGTTGTTTTTAGCTGACTGAGCTAAAATCTGACTCCATCATGTGCCTCATGATAAGAAAACAAAGATTAAAGAACTGGGAAAGAGCCAATCAGTAAAAAGAGTGAAAGAAAAACCCCTTCATGTTGAAACATGTTGAACCAAGACGAGGTTGGAGGAGCTTTGTGATATTGTGGGTGTTGTGAGTTGTTATAGTATGCATGAGCACACATACTCAAATACACACATACAGCTTATATATACTGGTACACTGTCTCAAGAGCATCAGTTTTATTCTGAAGCTTTTTACACTTTTGTCATCACCAACATTTATTAGCAAGGGCAAATGTGACACTTCTTATCTATAACAGGTAATACAGTATTTGGCCTGTTTTTAAAAAAAGGCCTGACTTTATATATATATATATATGTCATGGCATAATCAAACATACACTCTACACAATCTTATGCCTTTAAATAACTGTGTTAAAGTATTAGTTGAATTAAAGTGTTCAGATAGTTTGCACTATCCTGACTTCCCCAGCAATCTGAGTTGTAACGAAGATCAGGTTGGTTTTTGGAAGGATGTAAAGTGGCATGTACAGCAAGATTCCATCCTGTTGATGGTTATGATCATGTGTACACAATGACTTGACTTGGTAGCCACATTATATTTATCTTCTTTTGAACATTTAGGTTTACCCCTTCTTTCCTCTACAGTCTCTCTCGCCTTCACTTTCCACCCCCTTTCCATTCCATCCCTCCCCTGTTCCTTCCACCTCCCTTCAGTTGATGTTGTATCACTTCCACGTTTTTGACCAATAGGCATGCTCACTGATAGAGACCCATCCTCCCACTCAACTCATTAGTGTAATACAATATAGGTGTGTAAGCTACTGCTGACAGTGACCCTGAGGAAGACCTATGTCGGTCACAACTTGTTGGTTATGTTAAATAACTATTGCCATGTAAAATAAGGGCATTTTAATTTTGCACAAACTACAGCGTGCCTCAGATCATATCTAAAGGATCTTGTTGGTTGAGACCATATGTCACCCATGCAGTGAGCACTTCACAAGCTGGAACAATGATCGGAATTCCAGTTAGGCATGTCACAATACCAGAAATGTAGTAGTCGATACCAGTACCAGTGAAATGTCACGATTCGATTGATAAGAAATGACATCGACACTCGCTGTGCCTACTGCTGTTCAGTCTTGCTTTACCTGGTCTGTGCTGGTGAAATAAACACCATATCTGTGCCATAGACCATCGGGTCAGGAAAAATCGATTCCCCTGTACCTACAGTAAAACAAGTACCATCATGTTTTCAAAACGTTGCCATCGATTTGGTACCGACATATCAGTTCTTGTAACATCACCAATTCCAGGTGTGTTAATTGGGTTATGGTAACACTGATTCTGACCTTAATTTGTCTGACAGACTTTGGTATATATATTAGATATATTAGATAAGTGAAATTCATCAACAGTATCTGTTCTTTCTTATCTGTCATATGATGTATGAACTCATTTCAATAGACCTTTTTCACAACAGCCCTTTTGACATAAAATAGTAGGGTAATCACAGCTGTGACCAATGACACTAATTAATTACAATAATAATACAAACGTACAATAGCAGCACCCTGACTCTGCTTAATCAGAATCATTGGTAATCCCATGTTTACCAGACTAAAATCACATCTAGCATTACCTTACAGCCCTTGGTTGGTAGATAGATGTGTGAAAAGATGCTAGTTCTGGGAACTCGTGATAAATGGGATTCGTATGCATGTATGACAGATTTCCATTATTTATCAGTAGTAATGAGTGTATTTGGCCTTGAAGTTATAACAATCAGTGCTTATGATAGCAGGAAAAGAGAGCTGCAGTCAAACCATGTTGTCGACGTGTAGACAGCGAATCTCTACATTCCCCTTTGTGCCCAACATAACATAAAGAGCATCATTGTAACGTTTTTTAAAATAACTGACGAAGGACGTCCACTGATTTGCTAATCAACAACGCCATATTCTCGACATGTGCAGCTTTTGTAAACAGTTACTGATTGTAGACTCCAGTCTCCTGCAATACCACATCGACTGATTGCTCCCATTTAATGTCAAATCATTTTGTTTCCCAACCATATTAAACTATGATGTTGGTTATAATTTAGGAAATGATTGTTTTTAGGCAGCTGCGTCTCTGTTTATGTATTATATGACTTCCCTGCAATGTTATAGCACTCTGTCCCTCTCTTTCTCTATTTGTCTATCATTTGTCATTCTCCCTCCAGCTCTCCCTTTCTCTTTCTGTAAAGCTGCTATCAGTTGTAGGCTTGGCAGTGAGGGGTGCTGGGTAATGCTGACTGACTCTTTTTGCTGCTGAGCAGGAGAAAATAAACAAGGTTGAAAACCTCCTCAGAGCCACGTACTTTTGTCAATTCCTCTCCCTTTTTGTCTATCTTGCTCTCCCTTCCTCTTTCTGCCAGAGATCAAACCAATCTAACATCCGGTTTAAAAGTTCAGCTCCCACAGACAAGAACCTCTGTGGAAGGGCTTTTTTTGTAAGTCCTTTTAAGTATTTAAAGCTTTATACCTCTATGGATTTAATAAATAAAAGCAACCCAGAGGAGCAAGTTCAGGTTACTGAGAAGCCCAGCCAAAAATAATCACTTTGCTGCTTTGCAGAAACAGAAGAGGACATGCTCGGACTCATCTTTTTTAAGTATCTAAAGGGGGAAAGGAGAGAGGGAGAAACAGAGAGGGAAATGGAGAGATAGAGAGGTTCACCTCCGTTTGTAATCCAATCTCATCCTGATTCCAAGCTGTTTGAAGTTCTGTCAAGAGAAATAGGCTTTGATCATGTGGACCTAATGAACTGAGAGAGCAGAGAGGGGAAACGATAGAGTGGAGTTTTTACTTCTGTGCAACAGCCTGCTTTCCACTGATTGTCTGCTGGTTCGATGAAATAAAAGCATTTTGTTCTTTATGCACCGAACAAATATGTAAAATAGATATGCCTATAGAGTGCAGGACTTTGAGTAAGTGTTTCTCTTATAAGCTGTAGCTAATTGTCTTTTGTGTAGCATAGCATGTCTTCTTGTCAGTGGTTGTGTGAGTATTTGGCTTCTTTTCTTGTTCCTGTCTCTTTTGATTTGAAGATAAATTGCACAAAAGACAGGATGGCAATGGTGTGGGTCCTTTCTAGCATTTTTATTCTGTAGTTGTGTGTTTTATTTTGCCTTACACATTTTACTTTTAAAAGTCCATCGTGGATGAGAGCTTGTCTCACACATGTTTGTTTTTGATGTAAATCTATAGACCCAGTTTCCAGTTTATTAGGTTCTCAAGTTAACAAAAACTGATCACCATGATTTATTGCAGGGCTGCATTAGTTTTAGATATGTGTACCTATCTGTCACCTGAGTATGATGTAGGCCAAATGTCTTATTTGTTTGCAGGGGAAATTGTCAAAGATTTACCCCTTGTCGAGCACTCCTGAACCTCTAATATGCTATTATGTGTCCTGGATCCTGATTGGACAGTGTGGTGTCACAGTCTCCCTTCTTTTATTGCCATCCTTCTGTCCTGCCAAAAACAATGATGTCACCCTTGTTGCCATGGTACACAGTGGGGCGAGCACGAACATGCCAGAGAGAGAGGAGAGGAACTGCTGCTGTGTTTGGGAGGCCATGCTAAAACTACGCATACATAGAGGAACAGTGGAGCACTAGGGCGCACATTTTAATACATTACAAAGCCTTTGTGTGTTTGTGTGAGTACTAGGGTCTTCTAAATGGCTTAATATATAAATTAAAATAATATATTAAATATTTTCAGATCGGTTTAAACTGATTTGCACCCATATTTTATAACTTCATGAATCCAAAAGTCATTGTTTCCTCTTAAAAAAAGAATACCATTCACTGTAGTTTACATGAAACTTCCTCCTTCTAAAAAGCTCAAAGTGTTTTCAGTAAACAAACAGTACAGCATTACGCTAATGCAGTTTTCATCCATATGGTTGACATTTCTGAAATTTGAAAAAGCCCCAGAATCAAAACATATACCGGTAGTATATGTATAAGTAATATCATTTGGAAGGAATAAGCACCAAATACAGTTTGAATTATTAAATCTCTGCTGTGCTGCTGTGTTTTTAATTTTATTCTGCAACACCAGAAACATAAATTATTGTCCAAAATATAATCAATACTGCCGCAGAACCAACCTTGTTGCATTGCAAGGGGTAATATTAGTGTTATTTCTTAGGGTATAAGAGTAGTTATGGAGAAAGCTGTGAGTTGGAATGGGGGTTTTGGTCTAGGCTTTATGTTTTGTTTGGGAAATGTCAGACAGATACATGAGGCCGAAGCAGTGGAAAGTCCCCGTGCTGAGACAGAGCCAGTGGTAGTTTTCCTGATTCTCTTTTGCTCTCACTCCCACTCACTGAAGACTCTGTAGGCCTTCTGTACCAGGACAAGACTGGAGGAAAGTCGAGAGTCAGACACACAGAGAGAAATAGTTCTCTCTCACACACACACACACACACACACACACACACACACACACACACACACACACACACACACAAATGCAGAACCCATCCACAACTATTTCTTCCAAAACATTCCCAACCAGATACTCCCCTGCTTATGCCAGAGGTTTGTGCCCCACTCAGCAAACTGTATAAGTCAACAAAATCCAAAGTTTGAGCTGGAACACAGCCTGTATAGTAACACTGTCATGAAGTAGTTTTTGTGGTCAACTTGTTTAAAGTGGCAATAAAACAGTTGCCTTCTACTTGAAAATACCATCATTTTTTTTTTACTAATTATCATAATTCACATCCATGGCTAAACACCTTGTTGATGTAAGCACATGAGTTGGCAGCAAAAGCACAAGTGTCAGTTCATCCTGTCACATTTGAAATCCCCAAAAGTATAGTCAGCTGTTGCAGTTTACATGATCTCTACCTCATATTGATTTCTCAAACTTCGCAACAGAGGTTTAACATCACTAATACCTGTTTCTCCTTTTATCTTTTTTCTCCCTCACCGTCTTCCCTCCCTACAGGTGAAGCAGCTTTGAGGGGTGACCCCAGACTCCAGTCCCTGTCTCTGTCCTCGTCTTCCTCCTCCTCGTCCTCCTCTTCTTCGTCGTCATCCTCCTCATCTTCCATCTCCTCCATCTCCAGCCACAGGACAGGTCCTCCACCCATCAGCCCCACCAAGAGGAAGCTGAGCGGGGACCAGGGGGACAGCGACATGGACGACAACGAGCACGTGGCAAAGATGAGCCGACTGTTTGCTGCACAGCTGTGAGTATACATACTGAGAAACACTCGCATGAGTGAACAGGCACTTACACATTTTCTAATAAAATCTATAATGAGCACTTCAGTCATTTTCTACATGCTCATTTCCTGAGGTGTTGGTAAAAAAAAAAAAACTCCAATTTTCTATGACTGCACCTTTTCTGTCTGTCTGTGTTTCTCCATCTCTCACACACACCAACACCTTGCTACCCAGAAGCTACATATGCACACATACACAACTCAATGTTTTTAAAAGAAGTCATTTTTGACTCGTGTATGCCAGTGTTTCTGTTGGCCATATGTTTGCGGCGGGCTCTTCGCTTAGTGAAGCTGCACACAGGCAGGCTTTCTCAGAAGTCCCAGTTTGGACTCCAGGGTGCTACGCCAGGTTTAGCTGGCTCCACAGTGTTCTCCTTATAGCCGCAGATCTCTGGAGGCTTGGAAACAGGGACTGCACAACAGAAAGATTACTCACATCTCCAACGTTCCCACATTCCCACTTCCAGAGATTCCAGAGATTCTGGAGCGCTGATTGGTGGTGAAGGAGTGCTGAGGCCAGGGGCACTGAAGTCAAAGCTCTTTCCCCTCTCTCTCTCTCTCTCTCTCTCTCTCTCTCTCTCTCTCTCTCTCTCTCTCTCTCTCTTTCCCTCTCTCTCTTTCCCTCTCTCTCTCTCTCTTTCTCTTTCTCTCTTTCTTTCTTTCTCGGTTTGACTGAGTCAGTCATGGGACTCCAGCCATTGCTATTTATTGCAGAGACAGTCAAGAAGGTGTTAGGTGGAGCTGTGCAGTTTTACATGCATGCTAATTCTTAACAACGTGCCCCGTTGCTGAAAATAGCAGTAATATTATGAATTTATGGTAGCTGTTGTTTTCATGTCACTTGTTTCATCACAGTCAGCTGTTTGTCAATCAACATGGCTGTGAGATGACACAATGGAACACATTAGACGATGCACTGGATATACAGGAAGCCCTGGATTAAGAGAAGAGTACAGTTACTGGCAGTGCATTTATGTGGTTTAGCAAGTGCAAACACACAGATGCATTTGTGGATGCACATGCAGTACATACTCCTTTGTGTGTACTGGCACAAACACCTTTTAGACTTTAAAGGTAACTCTGAAAACTTGCCACCTGTAGTCAGCTTGCATTTATTACAATGAACTGCAATGGTGAACCAGAGTCACATCAAAATGTCCACAAAAACTTCTCATATCACTCCTGCAGTATAATCCACGCCACTGACAAAATTATATGAATGTTCAGTATGTTCCAAACGCTTCACAACGTCGCTAAATGCACAACTATCCTGTCACATTCTCATATATGTTCACTCGCCTGTGTGGTAGGGCAGGGATATTTTTGCACAGCTTGTGTTACAGGTAGGAATCTAAGACTTTTGAATCAAGTTTGTTCTAGTGGCACAGGGGGAAGGGTCTTTTGTTCCTTCATCTTGTGACCGTCTGGGCTCATATAACAAAGGATTAGCTTGTGTGTCTTGACATTTGTGCAGAGTCATCCTGTTTTCTGTTATGCATGTGTGTGTCAGTGGTGGGAAAATTACCATTATACCCTTCAGAGAAACCAGACAGTAAATCCATTTTCCCACTTGTTTTATTCTGTTGTCTCTGTTGTTTTTCACTCTCTGTGAGATATTTTTCATGCACGATGCGGTTTGCTGCATACATTGATAAGCAAATGCTCCTACTCGTGTATCACAAGTTGGATTTTATTTTGTAAGTCGTCTGCCAAAGTACAATGGGACTTATTGTCATATCAGCTTTCAGTTGGTGTCGCAATTCCTTGCCACAGCCTCTAAATGCAACCATTTTGTGTTGTTAAAATTAGGTCCTGTGGGAATAAAACAGATCCAAAAAGTCTGATGTTTTAAGACTATTCAAACTGCTCATTGTAGCATGATTATTTCCTAGAAGTAACCTGTGATAAGCTGTAATCCCTTTATTTAATTTTCATTTTAATTATGACCTTGAAGTCATTCGACTCTAGGGGCTATAGGTTAATCTCTAACTAAGAAAAGTCAATTGCTAGTTGACTTATTGCAACTTGAGGTTAAATTCTGCGAAGCCTCATCTAGATATATTTTTTCATCCTGGAAACCTATTTGCCTCAGGGCCATCCTAAATGTGTCTTATTTTTAGTCATTTAATTTGAGGTTTCTGTGAGGGCTTTCTTTCCCTGGCAAAGGTAACTGCTGAGTGACTTGTTGAAACCTGCAGTCAGTCAGCCTCTGAAAACTTCTCCTCCTTGTTTGAACTGTTGTGCCTGTCCAAAGAACAGTGATTACACTAAAGTGGAGAATGATGGGTTTGTTGTTACGGAAAAAGTTAAGCTAAAAATAGTGTGTAAAAACAGCCTCTATACAAAACGCAGCAGAGTACTTCACAGTCTTCCTTTATTTAACATAAATTAGCTTTCTGCTTCATTTATTTTATCTGTCAATTGTAGGAACGGTGATTAGGTTTAATTTGAAAACAATGTACTTCTTGGGAAAAAGCTAGACAGAAAACCAAAAACCAAAAACCCCAAACCCCTGCAGCCCCCCACTACACATGCACACACTTGCACACACACTTGCACACACACACACACACACACACACACACACACACACACACACACACACACACACACACACACACACACACACACACACACACACAGTTAAAATATCCAGAGATGGTTATCTGACACCATTCTAGCTGTTGGATTTTGCTGGCTGCTTCTGTCTGTGTTGCTTGTTTTTTTTTTTTTTTTTTGGCAGTGATTGCTCTGCTCTCAAATGACTGTTCCTGAATGTTTAGAAGCTTTTGTGTTCATTCTTCTCTTTAAAAACTTTTTCTTTGTTTTGCATGAATGGCAGTTTTCCTGTGTGCTGACTATATAAGTTGCTACATAATGTGCTTTTTTTTTTTTTTTTTTTTGGTCGAGCTGCTTGTAGTTGGCTGTCTTTTGTCTGTAAGTTCAGTCATATTTTTGGTGAGTGTTGACACAGACAGACACCTGACACATCAGACTTGAGGTGGAGCTATGAAGGAGGAAGCTCAGGTTTCCTTTGTTGTCCAATCACAGCAAGTTGAAGTCAGGGGGAGGCACAGGCTGGGGTGAGAGAAAGAAAACTTGAGGAACCAACTCAAATTTTTAATGTGGATATTAACAGGCATGATCAATGAATGTATATTGCTTTTGTCAACAGCCTGTATATTCAACAATGTGGTTGTGAGTATATTTTTCTCAGCAGTCTTAAGTGTTTTAATAGTGTCCTTTTCAGTTTCTGCTGTGAAGTCACTAATGTTTTAGTTTATGATACAGTAAATTCTGCATATAAAAGTCTGATTGAAAATATTGGCAGTCCTAGTGGCAGGCTGATATATGGATGTGTGTAAGTTTGTACTGAGTCTGCATGTGTTGTGCAGGTATGCACATGTGTCGTTGTGTGTACTGTCCATATGTGCATGTGTGCTTGCCCATCTGTGATCATTTGTGTGTTTGTGTGTGTGTGTGTGTGTGTGTGTGTGTGTGTGTGTGTGTGTGTGTGTGTGTGTATTTGTATAGTGAGTGGGCTCCTTGTCAGGCAGCAGGGGCTACTTTCTCATTTTCTCTGTGGAGTAGGAGGAGTCTTGAACAAAGAAGCCTTATCCTGTCCACTGGAGCCTGCGGGCTGGAAGCTTGTTGCTGCCTGCTCGCCTGCCCGCCACTCTGCAGTTGTAGACCCGCCAGCATAAAAGTCCTCTTGCTCAGCTGTTTCATTCCTCCTTAAAGAATAAGAGCCAGTCACAGAGCAAGGTTTTGTATGGGCTTTTAATTGGGGAGTACAGCTGCAGGATAGTATATTTGCAGCAGCCAGGTTACATGTCCTCACACATGAAGCTGGGCAGTATATCAAAATTAAGAATTGATCGTCTTTCATAGCAACCATTTTGTGTATTTTTCAAAATACTATTTATTGTTTTGTTCCGTACATCACCAATAACACAGATCGTGATAAAGGCAACAAGTTGAGATTTTTAGCAAATAATGTCTGGTCTGTCATTGAGTAAATGTTACCTTTTCATGTTCTTCTTAATCTTAGTCATGCTCTTTTTCCTGAATTTCCATTACTGTTCACATCATTATTCTCTGAAAAACTCATCAAAAGCATTTCAAGGTAGTATGTAGTCTTTGTTTAGTGTGCACTCTCTCGATTAGTAGTTTGGTCCATAAAATGTCAGAAAAAGGTAAAAAATGTTGATCACTGTTTCCTAAAGCCCAAGGTAATCCTCAAATGGATTGTTTTATCCACAAGCGGTTTACTGTCATAGAGTACTAAGAAACTGCACTATTTACATCAGATTTCCAGATTCTTATAAATGGCTCAAAACGATTGGTTATCAAAGTAGTTGGCAATAAAGGCTGTGTGCTATGACCAAAATCCCATATCCTGATATAGGTCAGTTCATATCCCAATAACGATATATTCCACAATCAGTCTCTTTTAAAAGGTAATGCTGTAGATGCACTGTAGGAGCTAAAAGCAGGTTTGTCGCTGGGCTGCAGTTAAGTAATATAGCATACAGAAACTGCAGCTGCTTTCTACTGGGAACTTCATCAGTAAGTTGTTCTCATGGACATTTCTCCATAGGCCAAATGGGGAGAAAATAAGAGAGAGGAAGAGTCAGTGTGTGTGTTTGTGTGTGTGTGTGTGTGTGTGAGAGAGAGAGTGTGTGAGAGAGAGAGAGAGAGAGAGACCGTGACCAAGCCTGGTGAAGTCATTGTTACCCTCTTGTTTTACATGGGACTATTTATGTAGTGTGTGAGCATGTGAGGAAAGGAGGGAGAGCATGTGGGTGTTTTTTTTTTAGGGTGTGTGTGTGTGTGTGTGTGTGTGTGTGTGTGTGTGTGTGTGTGTGTGTGTGTGTGTGTTTTCACATGTTGTTTTCTTTGCCGTCTTGTTGTGGTTGTTCCCATATCCGATCTGTCCCAGCTTTAATAACAAAGGATTTTCT